CCCTCTGCACAGTCCGGGGCTCAACTACCCCTCTGCTTCCCCAAATCTCGCCATCAAAACCGCCTGCTTTGTGAGAGGCAGGCTCTGGGTCACTTCCCTTAGCACGCCTGATAGAGCCTGGGGGGGGGGGGGGGGGGCTGGGGATCTGCATCTGCAACAGGGCCGTAGGTGATTCTGACGGACAAAGGGGCAATAGAGGAAGGGTCCAGAATGTGGGCTCTGGCCTCCGTTTGATCCTCGCTCCGCCCCCCAGCTCACTCAGGGTCCCAGGGCAACTTAGGAAGGGCCCACAGTGTGCTCCGCAGGGGAACAGAGATGACAGTGCCAGTACCTAAGTCACAGAGTTCTGGTGGCTTCTGAATGACATCGAGTGCCCAGCACAGTGTCAGGCACACAGCACGCTCCGCAGGTCCCTCCTGTCCTCACGGGAGATGCACAGGAGCAGGTGCCTTCCCTACCAGGCGGGGAGGGGCAACACTAGTCTTCAGAGCCCCGCACTAGGCCCGCTGGGGGGCCCGGGGGCCCGGGGCATTGTGGCCGCTCTAGGCCAAAGTCCCCAGCACAGGCACTTGGTCCAAGGCGCAGCATCTATGGTGGAGGTGTGGGGGCTGCTGCGGCCCCTCCCTTCCATGCCCACATCTCTCAGCCGCCAGGCAAGGGTGAGCCCGAGGCCCCGAGAGGCGGGATGGACCGGATCATCACCCCTTCTTGGAGTTGAGGAACAAGGCTCTCGAGAGGTTAAGTGAACCATCCAAGGTCACAGACCCACCAAGCAGAGCAAGGCCTGCACCCGGACAGGCTTCCTCTGGGGCCCAGCTGGGGCCAGGGTAGGGTAGCCTTCCCTGCCCGCAGGGTCAGGCATCCGAGGGCAGGGGCTCTTCCTCAACTCACAGAGCCAGAGTCCCCAGTCGGGGACCTCTGCCAAAGGGCCGGGTTCTGGTCCCAGTTCCAGAGAGATGGGAGGCAACTCACAGAGCCAGAGTCCCCAGAAGAAGCTGGCAAAACTGGAGTCGCTATTTTGCCCAGTCTCAGGCTTGGTGTGTCTGGTGGGAAGATGGAAACATGGCCTCCACCTGCAGGCTAGCTAGAGGGTAGGGTGAGGTAGGGTTTGGAGAGCCAAGGCCTTAGAACTTATGGAAGGAGGGCCCAGGCGACTGGGTAGTCAGGGAGATGGAGCTGGAACAGGCATTCAGACCGGGCAGCTCCACTCACCAGGTAGCCCCAACCAGAGAGGCAACATGACTCCACGGGAGAGGGGGAGCTCCCCTTTCCAGCCCCACAGAGGCGGCAAAGGCCCAGTGAGATCCAAGCTGTGGCTCACATGCCGGGGGCAGAGGGGAGGGCAGCTCTCCCCAAGGCAGCCAGGCCGAAAATCCAACCTGACACGGAGATACAGGGCTTCGAGGATTATCCCTGGAGATTAAGAGAAACCTTCCCTGAAATCTGCCCTCAAAGCAGCCCAGTCTGGGGGGTCCTGTCACACAGCAGGCGGTGGGGGGCGGGAGGCAGAGGAAGAAGGGCCCACCCGCCTCAGACAGGAGGACTAGGGCCAGGATGTCCACCAGCCCCGGCTCATCGGGCTCTGCATTGGGCCACTGGGAGCAACAAGCCTCTAACTGCTCAGAACTTTCTCGCGCCGTCGTGAGTTCTCGTGATCTCTCGGTGTGCACAGGTGAAAGCCTCACTGAAGGCCATTCAGACAAAAGGCAGGGAAAAGGCCCCCGGACGCTTCCTGCTACACGGGCTGCACAACCCAAGGGGGCACTTCCGTCTGCACACCGCCCCTGCCTGGGGGCCGGACTGGCACAGCGTACTTCAGACCGGGGCTTGACGGGAAGCACAGCAACAGCTAGCGAACTCTGCCCAGAGCCCAAGGGGCACAGGGAAGACAGAAGGGTCGAGAGACGGGCTCCCCGTTCAACCAGAGCAGCTCTGCTGGGTCTGTGCTGTGTGTGTTGGACAAGAAATAGCACTTCTTTCTCAAACAACCCACTTCAAGGCCCCAAGCCCTCCCCTCAGGCTGGCTAACAAGTCTCTGGAGGGGCCTCTGCCCCGGGGTAGGTGTGGCCCTGGTGCCCCGGCTCCCCCCACCTCCCAGGGCCTGCTCCACGCAGTCTCCTTCTAGTCCGGGGCAGGGAGGAAAAGCCTGGTCTCCCCTGCCTTCTCTAAAGGACCCTCAATTCTCCTCAGAAGGCCCAGGCTTTGGGAACAGAAACTAAATTCTAGAAAAAAGACAGTTCTCAGCCCTGAATCTGTGGACCCGGACTCATACCCCTTAAAGGAACTTTACATATTGGGGGTTCACTCAAGATTTATTTCTTCAGAATCCCATAGCTTTGCAAAGGAAAAAGAAAGGGAAAGCCTCGCCCCAGAGGGCCATGCAGGGGTGGGTGGGGGGAGTTTGAGGGAAGGGGGAGTGTGGGGCAGGGTCCTTCCTTCCCCACAGCTGTCAGGCTGGAGCCACAGGAAAGTGGAGGCTGGGCAAGCGTGTGGCAGACCTGGGTACCACCTCCCCTCACCCAGGCCCCGCGGGAGCTGCTCCTTTCCCTCCTTTCCCTTTCTGCAACGCCCCCAAGGGCCCAGCACCCTCCCCACCATATGCACATCATTAAGGGAAGCCATGTTCCAACAGCTGCTGAAAAATCAAGACACAGAGAACACGGAGAAAGCAGTCCTGTTCCAGCACCACAAAGCTTCTTCACGACTGTCTGTGATCAAAGCCACAAGCCCCCTCAAGGGCAGTGGCGAACACGCGAGCACAGGAGCACCGGGGTGTATGTGTGGGGAGAGGGGAGGCGGGGTCCTGTTCCTAGGCAATATGCCCAGGCTCTCAGGAGGAGGGACAGAATCAATCTCGATCTCAAACTCACCCCAACCTCCCCACATACACCCCATGATGGTTTGCTCCAGAGCCCTGGCCTTCAAGGAGCATCTCCCAAACCTGCATTCCTCCCCCAACCCCAGAAGAATCCTAAGAAGAGGGTGAAAAATCTGGTCCCCAGACAAAGAGAAGGCCTCAGGCTCACCCAGCCTCCCCCTGACCACTGTGAGCCCAGAGCCCTCAGTCATCCTCCAACAGGGCCTCCACGCAGACCCAGGGCTTACCAGCCACAACTCAAGGCCTCCACTCATCCACACGCCCTGAGTAGTCAGTGCCAAGACCTCCTGCCTTTTAGAGAGTGTGGCATAGCAGGGAGGCTGAGCAGCCTCTAGTCAGAGCCCCTGGGCAAGGGGCCCTGCACCCCAGCTGTCCCAACCCCATAGCCTCACTGGCCATTCTGGCCAGAGGACCCCCCCACCCCCCACGCAGGCTGACATCTCAGTCAGCCAGAAGTCACCCAAGCATCAGACAAGGGGCCCACATCCAGGCTTTACCTGGACCCCCTCCAGGCTCCCAGCCCCCCACCCCGTCCCGGGTCAAATGCCCACCTCCTCCTTGTTCCCAGTTCCAATCACCCCCAACCACCTTCCTCGTGTCTTCCAGATGTGCACGCAGCCATGCAATTACTTATGAATGTCTTTACATGGATTCATTTTTAGTTAAATTTATTTATTGAAAAGGCCACCACAATTAGATGCCTGTACGACTTGTCATAAATAACAGGTAGCCAATTAAAATATACCATTAAAACAAAACAGAGCTATAAAAGTCTGGAACTTTTCCCAATGGCTTTAAGCCCAAGGCCTTCTCCCTAGTAACAGGGGAAGTCAGGCATGAGTTCCGGAGGCATGAGAACATACTGGCACCAAGCTGAGACTTTCTTCTTGGCATAAAAGGATTGGAAAAGAATTGGAAAGGGAATCCCTTTCTTACTCTGACTCTGTGCTTAATGCAGGCCCAATACTACCTAAAAACATCTCAAGGGAATGTGGGTATCCACCCAATACTTTGGGAATGCAGGACAAGAGGCTTCCTCTGCCTCGTGCTTCACGCACCGTGGAATGCCTTCTATGAGCACACCTTCAAGGCACCACCAGACCCCTTCCCAAGACCCCAAAACTCCCTCTCCCGCATGCCTGCCCCGCGCACTCCCAGAGGTCACCGCTGACTCAGGTGGGACACCAGGTAAACGAGGCCCACCAGCAGGAGTCCGCGCACGCCGAGCATCATGAGCAGGAAGAGGAGCAAGATGGAGGTCACTGGCTCCACAGCATGGTTGCCCAGATGCCACTGGGGGAAGCCCATGTTCACCAGCTGCCGGTTGAGGTCATTGAAGGGGGACGGAGCAGCACCCAGCCTAGCCCCCGCCTGCTGCTGGCGAGGGCCCGAGCCCCCCAGGGGGGCGCCATGGCCCCTATTGAGAAAGCTCTGGAAGGTGAAGACAGAGAGAGAGGAATGAATCCAGAGAAAGCGTCCCCGGAGATGAAGTATCAGGCAACAGGGGAATCTTCTAGGCTAGGCCCCGCCCTCCTCTCCAGCCCCCAGAGGGCCACACCTTCCCCAGATGCCACCCCACAGGGATCCCCGTCACTGAGTCACAAGCTCTCAGAGTACATAAAACGCCAGGCTATACTCCTCACATCCTGCCAGGGAGAAGGTGCCCAGGTCCGAGAAGAGGAAGGGGGCAAGGAGGGCTGGACTATAGGGCAGAGCTTGGGAGCAGCCATTTCTAATACTCCTCACTCCCCCCCTTTAACACCATCACTGGGTGGCCATGGGCTCCTCTTCACTTTCTCCCGTTCTCTCTCAGCCAACAGACTCTTAAAAGAAAGATGTAGGCTCCAGCGGGGATAGTCAGGTCAAGGGAGAGAGGGCTCTTGGATTCCAGGTCCGGGAAGGCTGCCCGGAAAGATGAGAACTGGGGAGGCAGGCGGCTCCTATTGCAGACTGCAAGAAATCTGCCATTTTCCCCAAGTCTGGACCCGCATGCTCCTTAGCCCGGCTCTCTGCAAAGAGGGCTCCTGGCTAGAGAAGGCGAATGACTAGCCAGAGAGCTTCTGGTCGCTAAGGAGTAACGGACACGGAGGGCAGGAGGCGAACTGCTCCCCTGGGCGCCTACCTGTCGGGGGGTGCTACCGCGCGAGGGGAGACTGTTCCTCACGCGGGGGTCGTCATCCTGCACAATTTCCCCATTGGCCAAGATCCGCACCATCCTCCCAGGAGCGATGGGTCCCTGCTGGGCTGCGCCTTTCCCCAGACCTCAAAAAGCTGAAAGAAAACAATTTATCAGAGATAAGGAGATGCTTGCCTTCAGTGCGAGCAATGGCAGTTCTGGGTGCCCACGCTGGTTACCCGGACTGAGCAGGCGCTGCGTCCGGTTAATTACAAGGAGAGAAATCAGTGCAAGTTATCCGACAGTTGAAAATCTTTCAGACACTGAGTCCGCTGGGAAAACTACCAAAGGGAGCCTTGTTGCTGGAAGTTCTGCGACCCAGCAGCGCCAGCAACCGCAGGGATGAGAGCCTTGCTGTGCGGCCCAGGCCCATCTCACACCTCCCCACACTCTGCGGAGCTGGGTACAGTCAGAGACCCAGAGGGGTCTAACTGGCTTGCCCAGGACCACTCATCTGGAGGCAACAGAGACATACCCTGAAGCCAGGAACCCTGGCGCTAGGCCCTTCTCTGGGCTCTAAACAGGGAGTCCAGGGCACCCAGATCCCCAGTGTCGCCCTTTCCCGTCCGTTAAAAAGGGCCCATTGGGAGTAAATGCCAAGGACCTGGGCCTTCTCCGCAGAGAGGATCTGGGCCCACTTCAGAGCTACTTTAGGTGCACTGCCTGGCAGCAGACCACACTCAAGGCCACAGGGCCACCGGCGCTGGGTGGAGGAGCGGACCCTTCCGGCAGGGGGCACGCCCCTCGCCTGCCCCTCACCTCTCAGAGGACACCAGTCCCGCCTTTGCTATCGGGGGCGGGGCCAGCCTGCCCAAAATAGCGGATGGCTCTGGGAGGGCCCCACTCCGCAGACCCCAAGGGTGTCCGTGGGCTGGAGGTGGGGGTGGGGTCCTTCCATGGCTCTCCCCGAGTCTGTGTAAAAGCCATTTTTTCTCAGGAGACAAGCCACAGTTTTCACCTAAATTCTGAAAAGGACTTGTGACACACACGCCAAAAGGGGTTAAGAGCCCCTGTTCTGTTGCCCTTGGCCTAGAGCCTGGGACAGGCGGGGTCCCCTTTCTGAAGCCCGCTGGTCCCTGCAGAAGGCCAAGCGGGTCACGGAGCTCCGCAGTCCCTCGGTGCTTTGTCCCCCAGCGCCCCCTGGGTGGGCTGAGGCCGCAGCCGGCTTGGGGACACCTGACTCGGGGAGGGGGGCGGCCGCGGGGGGCGTGCTGCAGGGCAGGGGCGGGAGGGGCTGCGGGGAGGGGGCACCGCCCCAGCTGCCGAGCCCAGCCCGGGGGAGGAGAGGGATACGCGCCCGCTCGCCCTCGCCCCGGGCCCGGACACCCACCTGCGGGCGCGGCTCCGGGCCTCCGCTGCGTCCACTCCCGGCGGCTCCCTGGCCGCTTCCTCCCACCTGACCTCACAGGAAGCGCGCGCCGCAGCGGCGCGGCCCCCTCTGCAGGCCGCCGGGGGAACTGCAGCTGCCGGGCCCTGGGGCGGCGCAGGGCGGGGAGGAGGGAGAAAGGGGGAGCCTCCGGGAAGGGAAGGGGGAAGGAGAAAAGAGATGGGGAGGAGGGAAAGAAAGGAGGACAGGAAGGAGGAGGGAGAAGAACAGGACGAAGAAAGGGTAGTGGAGCCCATGGAGGAAAAACCCAGAAGGAGGGAGTCCCTCTGCCCTGGGTGGAAAGACAGCACGGGCTCAACCCACCGATGAGAGTTTGCTGAGCCTGCTGGGGGGATGCCTTTTGAGTAGGACCCAACCCTACCCTCAAGGAGCTCCAACTCCAGTAGGGGAATGAACCACAGGCGGGTGTAAATAACTGTAACTTGAAGGAAGGCAGGCTTCCTGGAAGAGGTGGTCTTTGAGCTGGGGCCAGAAGTTTAAGTAGGATAAATAGGGAAGAGTGCCACCTGTCAAGGGAGTGAACAATCAACCTCAGCCCCTTTCCTGATGTTTTTGTATCCCCACCCTCCTGCCAACTTTCATAAGCTGTTCCCTGTGAACCCATTCACCAGTGGGAAAGAAATGAGCTCTGTAGTCCCACAATTTGGGTTTCAGACACTGGCAAGTTACTGGGCTGCTCAGTCTCCTCCTTTGCAAAATGGGGATAATCATACCTCACAGGACTGTTGCAAAGATTAAGAATGAGAGTTGCCGAACCTAGCAAGTGTTGATAAACCTTGGCTATGATTGTCAGCAGATGTTTCTGGGAGTAGGCAGATATGTGTTGAGTATATAGTAGGACCCAGATGCCTACTGGCCCCTAGTGAGGGAGACAGAAAGAAGGGTGAAATTTAGGGCTTGCTTTAAGGACTCATCACCTGCTATCATGGTTTAATTCTTTGATTTTGAAACCTTATCAGTAAAAAATGTTGAGCAGGCGCCCCTGATACCTGTATCTCATTTGTGTATTATTTATTGGCTTGTGGATAAAAGGTGGCTGCTAGAGCCAACCTGGCTTGAATCTTGGCACAGCTGCTTTCTAGTAGTGTGATGGGCCAGTTATTCAACCTTTCTGGTATGAGTTCCTTGTTCTGTAAAATGAGAATAATACCAGTACGTTTGTCATTGGGTTTTCATGGAGCACCGACACTTCGTGTACAGCCTGGCCACCGTTAAGTGCTCTGCCCTGCTGATCCTTATGTCATTACCATCGCTCCGCCACAGTAAGTCAGTTGTAATGCATGGACTCTACACAAGTTTAGGATTTCAGATAGATACAAAACTCAAATCCTAATGCTTTTTTCCTGTACTCTGACGCAGGGGTTACTGTGCATATGTGGAAGGGGTGATCCCAGGGCAGGATTCCTGATTGCCAGAGGTGGTCTGCACATCTCAAAAGTGGCTGCACATTGGAATTATCTGGGATGTTTAAAAACAATCCCAATGCCGGAGTCCCACCCCAGAGGTGACAATGCTGTGGATCTGGGATGCAACCTAGGTATGGAAATGTTTTAAAAAACAAATTCTAGGTGATTCTAATGAGCAGCCTGAGCTGAGAACCACTGCCTTCCATGAACAGAGCCTCACAAGTGGGGCTTACAACCCACAATCCCCAAGGAGGAAGAGACCTCAGCAGGCTGGGGGACCTGGGGAGGAAATAAGGGATGTGTCCAGGAAGGCTTGAGCTGGTGCAATGGCTGCCAAGAGACACAGTCCAGCCAGAGATAACCATGAGAGCCCAGAGGAGGACGTCTCTCTAGGGAAGGTCAGGAACAGATTTAGGAGGCAGTAACATTTGACTAGACTTGGAAAAGACCTATCGGTACCAATTAAAACAGCCTCAGGAGGCTGTGACTCACTTTTCCTCCCTCTCCACTTCCTTCAGCTATCTCCCTTGCTTTGGAACCTGCAATGGCTCCCTATTGTCTGCTCCAACAAGACCCAACTCGTTGGCAGTCTCGGACAACCCTCCAAACCTGGCCCAGCACACTCTTCGCAACTCCCCGCCTCAGCTCCACCCACCTGGTCCTGCCGTACATCACCCAGAGTCCTGCTTGGCTTGGACCTGTCTATCCGCCTGAAGGCCCTCTCCACCCAATCTCAATCCCCCTACACTTTTATGCCAACAGCACAAACTTCAGTTCTGAGTGTCCCATGTAATAATAATAACCCCTGTGTGTGCAGAGTCCCTATGCTTTCCAAAGTGCTTTTCCAGGGACCACATCATTCTTTGTTGTATTGTGACATAGGAAGCATAGGTGTTATTGTTCATTTTTGCTGATAAGAAACTGAGACTCAGATAAATGTTACATGGCCAGCTCCAGGTCAACGGTAGAGCCAGGATTCAAATGAATCCAGATTCCCCCTCCCTTCAGGCTTTTCCCCTCTCTGCTGCCTCTTTATTTTGTGCTTCCCACACCCAATTCCATGAGCATGAGACTGGGCCCCTCGTCATGCCTTATTTCCAGCAGGTGCCCCGTAAAAACATGCTTTGGGCTCTGCTGGTCATCATTGCAGTTACTCTTGCACACGCTGAAGTTTGGGATGCCCTGCTTTAGACCAGTGGCTTTGCAAGCTCTTTTGGTAGCAGTACATTTTACATCACAACCTAGTAGCCACACTCCTGTGAAACAGAAGTTTCAACAACAGTATTTACCCTTTCTACATGAGCTATACCGTGATGTTTTCTATTTTTTAAGGGAAAAAAGTGCTAATCAAGATCTCACTCTATTTCACTATCCATGAATATAGTGGTTCTCAACCCTGATTGCACATTAGAATCACCAAAGGGAATTTTCAGAAACTATTGGTGCCCAAACCAATTGGATCAGAACCTCCAGGAGGTGAAGCGTGGACATCTCCGTGCCAGTTTACTTAATAAGCACTCAAGCTTGTAGATACTAATGCATGGTTTTTAAAAAACTGCAGTAGATGCTCCTCCAGGCCAGACGGCTGCCCCTAAACTTAGAGTTCCTTCAGATACAAAGCAGTAAGTTCCACTTGGCTAACAAAGATAAGCTTGTGTAATAAGCCCCAAGCCCCAAACAGGAAACGCTGCCCAGGGCACATCATCACAATGACAGTCCCTTGCCTCCTTTGAATATCCAAAAGTCAGGAACAAAGACCAACACAGAGCCTCCTATATGGCACCAATCCTCAAAGAAACCTTCTGACCACTTGGTGGCAAGTTGACTTCATTGCGCCCCTTCCACTCTGGAAGGGCCAGAAATTCATTCTAGCAGGGAGAACCATCCATTCCAGGTGTATGTTTGCCTTTCCTGCCTGAAGGGCCTCACCCAGAACCACACATCTTACAGTGTGTAACATTGCATTAGACCCATAATCTTGCACAATTGCAGTGTGCCCGTAACCATAGGATCCACTGGTTACATCACATACGACACCAGCTGGCCTAATAGAACTTTAGAATGGCACACTGAAGGCCCAGCCCAGTGCCAACTCGGGGACAGCACTCAGCAGGAATGGTGTGCCATCCTCAAGGGATGCATTCTGTACCTTAAATCAAAGGCCTGTACCAGCTATTGTGTCTCCAGTTGGAAAACACTTGGATTCAGGAACTCAGGGCGGGGAGCAGCAGTGGCCCCACTTACTATCATGCCCAATGACCCTCTTGGGCAATTTGTGCCTTCCATCCCCACAACTCTGGGCTCTGCAAAGCTAGAAGTCCTGCACCCCAAAGGGGGAACACCAGTACCAGAGAACACAGCAAGAGTCCCATTGAACTATAAGTTAAGGGTGCAGCCTAAGTACTTTGGGTTCTTGTTTCTGGAGATTAGCAGGCAAGAAGAGGAGACATTGCCCTTGTCCAGGAGTAACTGGTCCTTGTCACTGGGAGGAGGTAGGACTGCTCTTACATAATGGAGACGGGACAATCATATCTAGTGCCCAGATGGTCCATTTGGATGCCTCTTGGTTGCCCTTTACCCAAGTGTAGTGGTAAAGGGCAATGCGACAACTCCGTCCTCAAAAGGCCATGTGACCAGAACTTAGAGCCCTCAGGGACGAGGGTCTGGGTCATGCTTCCAGGTGAGTCACTGAGACCATTAGAGGTGACAGCTGAGGGGTAGTGGAGGAGACAGACGACGATCATTTGCAGCTGCAACGGAGGGAACTGTAGTTTGTCCCACTAGTATTTCTCAGGGAGAGTGAGCCACTGGAATCCTGAGAAAGTGGATCTGAACGGTGTGAAGCGTGGGCTATAGGAGACATGAGGATGTGCTGGCCAGACTCCCCTCCAGGGAAGGACTTTTGCTCTAACTTCTGGAAGAGCATCCATGGAACCTTCCGCTGTCAGTCCCTTCACACAGGTTGCTCTGCTGCAGAGGGACACTTCGCCCAAGGTCAAGCCCTTCCACAGGCTGCCCACATTCCATGACTGAAGGACACAGGAGATATGCATGGGCTGTATCAGCTCCAGAGATCTTCTTGAGGTTGGCTGAGGTGGTCAGGTTTTTATCATAACTTAGTTTTCCCTTCCGCTCAACACTATTTGCTCTGTCTCCCTCATCAATCCACTGAACTCTAAATTCTGTCTCAGAGTTAGCTTCCTGGAGAACCCCAAATGGAACAAGTCCCCATTCTGCTGGAGTGGGAGAAAATTTAATCTCATTTACTGTGAGATAGCCACTGCCTCTGACGTAGCAGGCACAACCAAATGTCCTTCAGATTCACAGCCCCCTTTTGCCTTTTCATTACTGAGCCCTCCCCTCCACCAAGGTCTGACAGGTAACCAGACATCCATCTAGGTAGCTAGGAAATCCAAAATACATGATCGGAATTAAGAAGACATTTTAGTAAGATTATTGTCTATAAATCAATTGTATTCCTGAGTACAAGCAGCGGAGTTAGAAAATTAAATTACAAAAATAATACCAAATGAGATATGACTTAAAAAATATATGTACAAAGCCCCTAGGATTAATCTAAGATTAAAGATGTGCATGGGAGGTGGCTCCGTGGCGCAATGGATAGCGCATTGGACT